TCTCCTAATTTTTCTACCACACGTCTGACCTCCCCTCCTCTGTAGCCTTCACACGGTCTCACCTTTGTTTTTCCATATCCGTGGATCCCTTCTTTCTACTTCAAGTACCACATCTTTATCAATGACCCTCAAAACACTCTCTCCAGCTGATTTCTTTCCAGAGGTCCAATTTCACATTTTTCAACTGGACTCAATACCTCTTGCTAGGCTATAGTAATAGTGCTACCTACGTGACCTCAGTCAAATCAAGTCACTCCCCTTTTCTCAGAATCAGTTTACTCATCCATAAAATGAGGGGGTCGCTTCTCTGCTGCATATAGAACAAAGTCCTAATTCTAATTTTCCAAGCTAACATTCAGTCTTTTTACAGTCGATCCCTCCCGCCAAACATTTTTTACATCCTTCCACCATACACTTGACTCCAACATAACCAATCGAGCCCTCTGCTTTTCTGGCCTCTGCCTGGAACACCTTTCCCATCCCCCAAACTCGGCATGTTCCAAGTCTGTGTAATCTTCAAAGCCTAGTTCAAACCCCAATTCCAGGAAGCTGTCTTTGATCTCCTTGGCTGCAAGCCCTTTGCCTCTCTTTTACGGGTGTAGACCTCATTCTTCAAGTTTTATAGTTGTTTATATATTTCTTCTCTCTTCCTTAACTGTCATTTTGGAGGGCAGAGGCTATTTCTAAATCAGCCTGTATTTCCCGCATTGCCTTTGGCTCCTAGTATGACTTAGTAGCCTTATACTGAATGGATTCACTGTAGGCCCTATCAGTCACCTTGATTAAAAGACATTAATCATTCTCACTGTTTCTGGACCAAAATTCTTACAGTGGCCCACTCCAGCCATACCAGCTTTTGTTCAATAGCGCAAACTGACTATGCTTCTCTCATCTCACGGCCCTCGTGCAAGCTAGAAAACTATTTCCTTCATCTAGAAAACTATTCCACCCTCTCCATCATGCCCACCCCACCCCCATGTCTCTACTCAGCCTTAATGTCCCTTCCTCAAGGAAGCTTCTCTGAAACTCCAAGCTAGATCATTTTCCTGTTATATACATACCTTCATAGACCCCATCCCCCATCCCCCATAGCATTTATCACTGTTAAAATAACACATTCGTGTGATTATCTGATTTATGGTCTCTTCTCCATGCAACCAGAAGCACCAAGTAAGCAAGGACCACGTCTGTTTTGTGTCATCTGCATGGTGCCTAACTATGTCACTGAAAATAAAAGCTGTTGAATGACTGAATTGAATGACTGAGCTAAAGGGAAATGCTTGAGACTCAGAGTACAGAATCTTCGCCTGGATTCCTACAATTCCTTCAAAATAAAGTTGAGATGTCCCATAGCTCTCTGGGACAGGTATACTGGCCTTCTAGTCACCATAAGAAATTGATTAAAAAGGGTAAATACTCTCTTGAATGAAAACCTAAATTACCTTTAATGACTGTATGCCCCCAAAAGGCATAACTAACACCAAGTGGTTTATTCACTCACTTATTAACAAACATTTATTAAGTACCTACTCTATGCCATATGCTAGGCTTGTGGCTGACCGTACAATAAACTGGACTGATACAGCTCCCTACTTGCTCAGAATATTCAATTTAAGAGTGGAATTTATATAAGTTTTTAAAAAACCCTTTATGACAGTCACAACATGTACTTTGTGAAGGTGTGTTGAGTTCTCCATCAAAGATATTTAACCTGAGGGTGAAAGATCATCTGGCAGAGACGATTTAGAAATTACAACTGAGCCCCATCTGGGTCTTTTAAATTAGGGATGCAGGTAGCCTAGACGACGGAGCTCAAATGTGGTCCACGGATCAGTGCCTGTCTGTGAACTTTTGTTACCGGGGAGCGATGACCTCAATGCAGAAAGCGACAATAAGCACTTGCCAGATGTTATAGCAATTTGATGAGGTTAATGTCTGTTGAAGCTAATAGTAAAAGTATGAGCTTATGTTTTGTATGTTTTTTTTCTTTCATTTTCTACTAATTCATAGGTAATGTATTTTACTAAACCGTCTGTGATAGATTGGAAAATTTGAAGGGGTAAAAAAAACCTGGTCCTTCACCAAAATAGTTTGAAAAGCACTGGAACAATGGGTTCAGGATTACCTGGCATTTTGTTAAAATGCAAAATCTCAGGTGCCACCCCAGACCTTCCTGATCAAAATTAGCATTTAAATAAGATTCCCGAGGGATTCTTTCACACATTAAAATTTGAAAAGCACTGGCCTAGATGATTTCTCAAGTCCCTTAGAATCCCGAGGTTTTATAATTTACTTCAGACAGAAAATTGCTGAGCTGAAAGACCCAGAGAGAAAGTCATGAGTCCAACCAAAGTCATTGGCAAATTAGCAGAGCTTGGAATTGAACTCGAGTTTCCTAATACCCGTCAGCTTTCTACCCTGGCACACTGCATGCTCACTCCCATTCTACCCAATCCCGCTCCATGCCATCTCTCAACGATCTCATTGTTTTATCAGATTGTATTGTTTTAGCAGAATGTATCTCAGAAACAACGTATTCTTCTTCTTTCCATATACTGTGTGAACCTTGAATCACCACTATTTCAAGTGACTCCTTTATGATCATTGTCCTTAACCCCTGCTTCTGCAATCTGCCCACAAGCCCATTCTCCAGCTGCCGGTTGGACATTTAGGAGCTTCAGAGGGACTAACATCCATCTATTCCTGGTCCTTAGGAAAAGAAAAAGGAGCTTCTTTGTTCCCATCAGTCCACACGATACCAGATAGCAAGCTTTTCCAAGGAAGAGAACATACACTACCAACGCTGCTTCAGAAAGCTCAGCAGGAGCATTTTGTGGCTGACGAACCAGAGAATGGGACACTAGACTACCATATTAATAAAAGTCTAGTCTCCCAAATGAAGCAAATGATGATCCTTTACATGTGGTCTTGTCAGATCCAAGGCTTGAGTGAGAGAGGTGACGGCCGTAACTATCTGAAGAGAGCCGTTACTAAGAAGAAGCCAATTTGTTCCAGGTAGCACCAAAGAACCAATGAAATAAAGGGTACAGGGAGACAGATATTGGCCTATAAAGGGGATCATTCTCTGACAATCAGAGTTTCTCGAAGATAGAAAGAGCCATCTACTAATGAGCTCTCTGTCACTGCAAGGGAGTTCCCATAGAAATCAGTGAAGGAATTAAATGCTTAGAACAAATTCAAGAACTGGATAAAGTTTAATGACCTTGAGGGACTCTTCGAGTTCCAAGGATTTAGCATTCTAAAAATTTTAGGACAGGGTGATGCTATACCAGAACACGATCTGGTCCTAAAGGGAACAACTCTTTTGCTCGATTTGAGATGGACGACACCACGACAGTGACAAAGTGAAGTCTTTCTAGGCATCCCTTCAAAGGGAAGAAGGCTGGCCAAGGAAAGCCTCTGGGGCAGCTCCTACAGGAAACCCAGGTGAGGCTTCGCTCCACAACGGCCAGCCACCATGCCTCATTCTAAGTCCTGTTATGCTACACAAAGACCAAGCTACTACTTTCCAAAAAAAAAAAAAAATCTGCCAAGCACCACCCTTCCTACTGTACCTACATATGCCTAACAGAGAGAGGTGTAAAATTCTACCCAGGAAGGCAGTAGTACTCAACGGTCTAGCCCATGCATTCTGGAACCAGGTTGCCTGTGTTTTAATTCTCAATTGAGACATTTAATTGCTCTGTAACCTTAGACAAGTTACTTAACCTCTCTGTGCCTCAGTTTCCTCATCAGTAAATCGAGGAGAACAATAATACCTGCTTCATAGGGTTGATGTAAGAGTAAGACACATGAAACCCTCAGCCCAAGATCTAAAAGTTACTAAGCCGTCAGCAATGTTAGCAATCAGCATTGTTGATGTTATAATTACTATCATTGGCAGTCAACGCTGATAACTCAAAAAGCCCTAATGAAGCCACCAGGTCCCGCCCCCTACCAGTTCAGAGAGGCTACACTACCAGAGTGTCAGCCAGTCCTTGCAGAGCTGCAGACATCCAGAACCTG